GCAGCAGCAGCAGCAGCAGCAGCAGCAGCAGCAGCAGCAGCAGCAGCAGCAGCAGCAACAGCAACAGCAACAGCAACAGCAACAGCAACAGCAACAGCAACAGCAACAGCAACAGCAACAGCAACAGCAAAAGCAGCAGCAACAACAACAACAACACGACGCACACGGACACAAACATCAACACGACCACCAGCCTCAGCACCAGCACCAACACCAGCAACAACAACAATCATAAACAAATTCAATATAATGCAAAGCAGCAACTACGGCAAAGCACAGGCGTCAGGACAGGCCACCACCACCACCAACACCAACAACAACGACAACATGCCGTACAACAGACACAGCACAGCACAGGAGGCAGGAAGGACAAAGCCGTCAACCAGCACCAGCACCAGCACCAGCATAGAGCTGCAAAGGCAGCCACAGCGAAACATTGCAGATTCTCGAACGAAGTTCCTGTCTTTGATTTAGGTTTCATGCTGCGGGCACACCACGTGCACCTGTGATAACTGAAAAACATAAGAAGCGTATGTCAGTTGCAGGAGGCACAACCATGGTGATCCGCAACGACATGTGGCATCCACGTCTTGGTGACATGCTCTCCAGATTGCTCGAGTTGTCGATTATAGCATCCAAGAACCGCACCGCACACGCTTGCGCTCTTAAAACATGGACGCATGCAAACGGCCAAGCGTGCCGCACCTGCAAGGTAAAGCCCTCGTGACACTCAGCGCAGTGCGCTTGAGCGGTGCAGTATTTGCAGCCTGAGCGAGTGCATCTCAGGTGAACCTTCGTGCTGCGACGACTACGAGGAGTGCCTTAAACTTAGCTGCTTCTTCCTCGTGGCTCTAGCTGCGAAAACCATCACAGCTTGCTGCTGAGCTCAGTCCTGTGCCTACCACGGAGCAACTCGAGCAGAGGAGGTAGTCCTTGTCCTTAGAGGCATCTGGCTTCTTCTTTCTTCTTCCAGGCTGCTGGACCGGAAACTCCTATCCTGGATATCCTGACGACGCAACACCACAAGGAGATCAACGATCCCAGTTCTTCGCATGTGAAATTGGCACCTGGACCAGCAATCTGAGTGCCGGACCGGGAAGGGTGTGTCCACGTTGCCTGACCGAAGCAGGTGTGGCGCTTCATCAGTGGATGCGTTGTATGTTCCAGTCTACCTGCACTCAGCCTCGGCTGCTCGGTGGCTTGGACAGAAACAAGTGACTAATTGCGGCGCGTCACCAACCCTTAGCGAACTCTGTCTGGAATGTACCACGTGCCGAAGCTGCTCGAAGCTTAGGCAGCTCTGGACATCCAGGGCAAGAGAAGGCGAGCATCGTCTGAGAGCACTGCCCTGGACGGGACTGGACCTGCTTGCAGTCCCGGCTGCTCCCCGAGCAGCGGTGGGCGGCACGGCAGCTGAACATACACGGAAAGTGCCTTAATGGAAAAGGAGATGTGACTTCTTGCGCTCTCGCTCTCGCCCCCGGGCTTCTAGCTCATGAAGATGGAACCTACACTGCCAACGACATGACTTTAAGGAACTCGTACGGATTGCCCCTTCTAAGATACGTCGCTCTGTGGTTTGCAGGTGCTGGGCGAGAGGCAAGTCCGGAGACATGAATGGACACTCCTTGGCTCAGGGGCAGAGAAGTTCAGCGCAGACCCCTTCAATCAAAGAGCCGCCCGAAGTAAGAGGCATGACACTCTTGTCTACCTGTTCAAATTGCAGATTGAGAAGGGCACCTCGACAGTAAGACTCTCGTCCTACCTCTTCTGGTGCGTGTGTTCATCTCTGTCTGCTTCTTTTTTGGGCCGGGAGCTCGCGACTGCGAGCCAGCACGGGAGCGCTCCCCCATTCATATTTGTTTTCAATCGCTCTTTCTCTTTTCTCTCTTTCGCCAGGGCTGTGTGGTTCTTTCTCCTTGCTTTGCTCTGCTCGGGGCTTGGGCGGGGGCAGGCCCCCCGTCCCGCGCGTCAAGCGCTGCCCCATCCATCATTTTCGACGGATGGGCTCGGCTGTTCACGAAACTGTGTGCCCCTTTTTTGGGCGGGTACTCCTGAAACAACGAACCAGCAAGCAAACTGAGGCCCGGGCCAGGTTAGGGTAGCTAAAACACACTGTGGAGTACCGGTAGGGTGGCGTCGCTGCGGGTAACTGGTAACAAAGTAAAGACCCGTGAAGTCAAACCTCAACAGCAGTTGTTCCCCGACAGCCACACATCTGCAGGTGGGTACCCCTGGTGACTTCGGGTGGTGTTGACACGGGCAACAGCAAACTCAAGTAGGTACTTGTCACCTTAGTCACCAGTGAATGCTCCTAAAAGCCTACGTCTGCGGTGACTCTCCTGGCTCTCAGAACTCTGCGGGCTGGTGCCCCTCAGTTGTTCTTCTTCTCGGTGTGGTCCCCCCAGCTCGACTTGCCATGGGACTGTGTCCGCGTTCTCGTCCCACGTGGCTTCCGGCTCTGTTGGTGTTAGCTCCGGGCGCCTCGTGTCGTCGCTGTGCTGTTGGTCCTCCTGGGCGGGTTCTCCTTCTCGGTGTGTCCCCCCGTCTTCCGCTGGCTGCTCTGGTAGGGCGGGTGCCCCTCGTGCAGTCCTCGTAGGCGACGTCCACTGGGTCCTCGTAGTGCTCGTAGTTCTCGGCCGCGACGGGTTGTGTTGTTGCAGCAGGTGCCGCAAACTTGACGAGGGTTGCTGCAGCAACTCCAAAGGCCAGGGTAGTGCTGGTTGCGCAGGTAGAGCAGGAGCAGCTGGTAGTTCCGGTCGCTGTGGTAGTGCAGGCAGTGCTGGTAGGTCTCGTAGGTCAGGTAGTCCAGGAGGCCGGCGGTCTGCGTCTGGTTCTCCTTGAGGCGCGGGGGGTAGAGGAGGTGGTACAGCAGGCTGTGGTAGCGCCGGTGCGGGTCGGTGTGGTTGTCCCGGTTGTACAGGTAGTCCCGGTTGGTCTTGCGGTCGGCAGGTTGGTCCCCCCTTCTCGGTTGTGTGTCAGGTTCTCCGTTGGCTGCTCTGGTGGGGGTAGCTGCGGTGGCTGTAGAGGTTCAGCTGGTCGAGGTTGTCCAGGTACAGGTTCAGGTAGAGGAGGTAGTTCAGCGGGCTGTACGGGTTCTGGTCGGTGTGGTAGTCCAGGTCGTTCAGGTAGTACGGCGGGTTGAGGTTGTGCAGGCCGGTGTGGTAGTCCAGGTCGTGCAGGTAGTTCCGGTTGGCCTGGTAGTTCGCGGGGTGGTCCCTCGTCTTGGCTGTGTGCTCCGACGGTGTCCGTCTCGTCCTCAGTGTTTTCGTCGTCGACTAGCACCACTGGAATTCCCCAAAACTGCGTCGACCACTGGGTGAGTTCCCCTATTGCCTGTTGTGCCCACTCGTGCAGCTGTCCGTGGAGGAAGGCTGCCAGGCGACGAAGCTTCGCTAAAGCTTTCAGCGGCCTCTCTGGTTGTTGGTCTGCAGTGTCGTGGTCTGGCTGCGTGCTGGGTCCTCCTCCATGCGCGATGACATCTGCTTCATGTCGGCGTCTCTTGTCTTGTGGCGAGCAGTACGCAGCTGCTCTTCGCAGGTTCTCCTCGTCCTCGTTGTGTGTGCCCCATGCCTCCACGTGTGCCGCCGAGGCGGCTTCGCAGAGCTGGGCCACTGTGGAGAGGTCTTCGACGAGGTTCTCTGGAAGGTGTTGTCGCCCTTGTAGGTTTTGTAGGCACGCTTCCATTGCCGCCTCAGCTTGGTCCGCGAAGTCTTCTCCGCGGTGTACTGCTCCCCAGTTGCGTGCTTTGGTGCGACTGTGCATCTGCCTGGTGCCCTCCTTCAGGAGCTTGGTGACCTCGTTGAGGTCTCTGCTGGTCTCCTGTACGCTGCTAGGTGCTCCCGTGGCCTCGACCGCTTTCGTCAGGTCCACGAGCAGGTTCAGGAGGTGCGCTGCTGTGCTGTGTGCGTCGGGCGGTGGTGGACTCCCGCGAGTGGTGGGGTGGCGGCTGCTGGAGCTGGGCTGCTGGGTGCTTTCCTCGGGCTGGAGGGCAACAAGGGCTTGCTGCGCGAAAGCCTGGGCCTCTCCCGGCGGGACCAGGTCGAGGACTTTTAGGAGGCAACGCCTTGCTTCCGCCATGGCAAGACAGGCTTCCGTGGGGGTTGGTGTCCGGTAGTGTGGTGTGCCCCTTTGCATGAGCTCAACTTGGTCTGTGGGGTCTTCGCTGGGCCACGACTGCTCGCTGCTGTCGTACGGGTCTGTCTGTGCCTGCTGCTGCTGTTGTGTGGTGGGTGGCGGTGGGTGAGTCGGTGAAGGGCTGCCCTCTGCGTGCTGTGGTGTTGGGAGGTGTGGCGGTGGCGCGCCCGCCGGGGCAGCGGGGCGTGTGTCAGCTGCTGGGGTTGGCGTCCCGCTTGCGTTGGGCTGCGTGTCTGGTGGTGGGTCGACAGCCTGGGCGGCCTGGTATTGTGGCAGCTCAATGGAGTAGCCTCCAAACCTGGCCAGGTGGTTATTGCTCCAAGGGTGCCACTGCCATTCTTGTCTGGACCACAGCAGCAGGTAGTGGTCCCCTGCCTTGTGCCTCAGGGCCCCCTGGCTGGCCACAGCGGGTGCTTTGGCGTCTCTCACGTGCCAGGCCATGGGTTCTCTGCGGTACAGTCTGCCGAGGGGGCGGAGGTACATGGCGGTGCCCATGCCAACGTACTGGTGGGTTGCAGGTTCGGGCTGGGTTGTGACCATCTGAGGGCCTATGTGCGCCGAGCGTGGCAGCGTGGTGTGCCCCTCCACGTGTCTCGCAGACCCTATGAGCCAGATGCCAGCTGGGTGTTGGAGGGCAATGTTGGCTAGGGAGGGTCCCACAGGGAGGGCTGGCGGCAGAGTGGGGGGCATGGAGTGGTACCCCGCTGGCAGGTGCAGGTTGTAAGTCTGGGTGCGGGAGTGCCACTGGATGTCCCGTCCTTGCTGCTGTTGCCTTCCCGACTGGTTGGCGGGGGGGTCGGTGGTGTTGTGCCTCCCGGGGGTCGGGTCCTGGGCAGCGTCTGTGGGTGCCTGCTGCGGGTCTGCTCTGGGCTCTTGGTGCAGCTGCTGTGCGGATAAATCGGTTGCTCCAGGTGGTTGTGGCTGTGGTGGCTGGTCTGGTTCTTTCTCTCTCTCTCTCTCTCTCTCTTTTCTTTCTTTCGCCAGGGCTAGGGGCAAGAGGGGCAAGCCCCTCTCTCTCTCTCTCTCTCTCTACCCGGTGGGAGGCCCAGGGAGCGTCCAGCCCTGAACTTCGCGTGCAAGCACCCGCAGTCCTTGTTCACTTCCACAGGGCATAGGGAGCGTCTTAAGCCCCCGGGCTTTTTGAAGGGACTGTGATACTTTGACGTACCGATGTTAGACTCACGCGCCAAGTTAGATGGTTTCTAAGCCCTAGCCAGAGTCCCCTGGTACGTACCTATGCATTCGCACACAGTTACCCTGCAGTACGAAGCATCATAAACAAATACGCAGTACGAAGCATTATGCACAGACATGTTGGGGCATGTGTGCCAGTCGCAACGTGATTGGCCATTCAAGTTCCCCCTTGAGTAACGACGACATGAGTAAAACCTTGTTCTCTCTCTGTCTCTCTGCCTCCCTCCCCCCCCTCATGTGCTGTGTCTTTCTCTTGTCTTCAGCAGTTTCATCGGTACGGCTCGGAATGGTGCATGCAGCCCACCGTCCACCGTTAGGCTAGGCCTGTTTCCCTGGTATCAAGGATGCATCATAGTGACTGATGGGCACCGCATCTGCCGGAAGCTCAGGGTGCAGTTTGTGGACAGTCGCCGGTGACCTGGAAGTGTTGAGCAAAAGCTTCGTTGGCTTTCTGATGGCAGCCGTCAACGAGGAGTACGCTAGCATGTGGCAAGCATGTACGACATGCCCAGACCTTGGCTCAACCCACAGGCTTTGACAAGCATCGTCGGTATAGTTCGCGCGAGAGACACGATTTAGCCACCTCTCAGCTTCATGTTGATGAGTTCTAGCTGTATTCGTAGAAGAACAGAACCGGCCAAGGCGCATTGATGTGGCTGCGGCATTATGTGTGATGCGTTGGCCCAGCTCATCGGGGTCTGCTGGTCGTCGAGCTCGGCCACAACACCACATTGACCTCAGAGGGTGGGTCAAGCGTGGCCTTAGGGCTTCTGGCCAAATCAAGGAGAGCTCGAGACGGTTGCGAGGCATTGTCTAGAGATGGCTAGAGTCCAGAGTCCATGATTCACTTTCAGTTGTTGTTGGGTTCGGGTCTCTGAGTCTGGTCGACCCCGAAACCCCGCAGCTACCTGTATGGACGCATAGAGTCGATGACCCCGATGCTCTTCCTGGTCCCAGCGGCCGGACTTGCCCTTCGATCTCCTGAAGACTCGATCCTGCACGGATGCTTCGTGAACTGCGAAAGCTGGAGCATCGCCAACGTGCCAAAAGACAGCGTTCTTACTGCGAGCAAAGCATCCAGGAGCTTTACAGCCTTAGGATGACAGGACTTCCACTGAGACACCCCATCCGAGGAGAACACCCTGGAGCCGAGGAGCTCTCGAGATCTCCTGCCACAGCGTTGCGATGCGTGGCAGACGCGGACCGGACCCGGAGAGACCCACAGAGGGACCCAGGGACCTCTCTGCAGGACCGGCCTCGATGTCCGCTTTCTCCCTCCTCTGGACGTCCTGAGCAAGGCCGAAAAACGAGGTGCCCGCTGCGGTCTCAAAGGCCACCGGCCCAGGCCTGCGAGCTTACGAGCTCCACCGTTGGGAGCTCCGAGTCTTTCTCCTGCGGAAAGAACACAGAACTTGTTGGCTCCTTAAGCGGCATCTGTGAGAACTGACGCTGTCCAACCCGAGCCGTCCTGGTCGGAAAACACTTTGACTTCAGGCCGATCCTTCTCAGCCGCGCCAGCGAGCGCAGCGGCCTTCAGAGAGCAATGAGACTGATCTGACACTCACAGCTTTGAGAATGACGCTTCACAACGTCAAGGTGATCGACTTGTGAAGGCCACCAGCGATGGGCGGTTTCAAAGTGTAAAAGGATGTGAGAGGTCAAAAGACTCAGAAGCTTGGGTTCCCAGCCGTGGCAAGCAGAAGGACCAGCAGTCTTCTCATGCCTTTGCACAAACTTGTGCACGTAAAACAAAGAAACCAGATGCATGCCGTCCCGGCCTCCAGGCCTCCCAGCCGCCAGCGTGCTCCTAAAGGCCCAAGGCTGCCATGGATCCCCCCTTTATCCTCGAGAATCGAGCAGCTGCGGCTATGATATATTGAATGTACTGGCCACAGACTCCCACAGACTGAGACACCCTCTGCGGGGAGTTCATTATTCTTTGCAGCAACCGCTGCCGGAATTCAGTCGTCACTGTCTTCGTCAGGAACGGCCCGAAACTGACCTGAACGTCATGCCTTTTCGAGACCACTACGGGGTTTCACTTCTGACCTCAATCTAAGTCTGTGGTGGCCCCGTCCTCGCGGGAACAACCTGGAAATGGCCTCACCTGTACAGTGCGCGACACCACGGTGAAACAGGATCGAGGAGCCCAAGCAGCAAGTGCATCCTGGCAATAGCACTAATCGCCTGCTGGCCGAGACGAATAAACAGTCAAAAAGACATGGACATCAGAATTCAAAGGCAGCCCATCATGTTCTTGCCAAAAGCTGATGCTGTAGAAACTTATGCCTAGCAAACGTGCATATTAACAAACAATTCCGTGGTCCCGTCCAGGGCCCTTCGGAACAAAACCGGTGCAAAACTTCCGCCATTTCCGCGGCACTCATTAACGCACTATTCGACATGGGAGATGTGCGAAGGTTCCACTTCTCATGACTTTCACGTACAGCGATGCGCTGATGCTTCATAGTGACTTCAAGCTGTACGCCAGGAAACCTTCCACCTGTCTCAGTCTCAGCTATGTCAGACGCTCCGAAGCTTCACAAATCACCCAGCTGCTTGTACCTGTCAAGATGCCGACGAAGCGGTAGTCTTCGGCCCATCTCTACGAAGCACTGCAGATTCCTCTGCACAAAGTCGGACTTGCCAAAGCCGCTATATGGTGTCACCGCTGTCATGCAGTGTCGCACTGTGCCATCTGCGATTGGACCTCTAGCATGACCTTTGCAAAAACAAGCGTGTTTCAAGCGTCGTCATGGTGGCCGCTATGGGTGCGGTAATGTGATGTTTTGCAACTGTTCCTCCAGTTGTTGCTGAAGGTGCCCCTTTTCCTCCATAGTAGTAACAGCGGTAGTACTACTAGTAGTAGGAGCAGTAGCAGTAGCAGTAGCAATGCAATATGCAGTAGCAGTAGCAGTAGGAGTAGCAGTAGCAGTAGCAGTAGTAGCAGTAGTAGCAGCAGTAGTAGTGGTGGTGGTGGTGGTTGTAGTGGTATTGGTAGTGGTAGTGGTAGTGGTAGTGCTGCTACCACCACCACCACCACCACTACTGCTACTGCTACTGCTACTGCTACTACTACTACTACTACTACTACTACCACTACTATGACTACTACTACTAAATAGTGCTGCTACATCTACTACTACCTATGCTAGTAGCACTAGCACTAGTAGTGGTAGTAGTAGTAGTAGGAGGAGTAATAGTAGCAGCAGTACTAGTAGCAGCAGCAGCAGTAGTAGTGGTAAACACAGTAGTAGTGGTAGTGGTGGCAGTAGTAGTAGTAGTAGTAGTAGTAGTAGTAGTAGCAGCAGCAGCATCTGTAGCAGTAGCTATGCGTGCCTCTCAACGCCTGGTGTTAACCTCTGTTTTCGGGCGTTTCTGCACCTTTTAGCTGAGGTTGGGGGGGTGAGGGGGGGGGGGAGGGGCTGATGACGACATGGTCTTTATGCCTCCCTTGGACTAAGGTCGCGTGATTTAGTGTTGTTTCTTTTTGTTGGGGGGGACCTCTGTTCTGCCTGCAAAATTTGGATTTTCGGACGTTGGGCTTGCACTGTAACGGTCTTTAAGACTTTGGGCTTGCACTGCCAGGGTCTTGTGGTTCAGGGTTGGAGGTTTCAGCTCTTCGGACGTGTGGCTTGCATTGCCAAGGTCTTGCGGTTTAGAGTTAAGGGTGGTAGGACTTAGGACTTTGGGCTTGCCCTGCAACGGTGTTTCGGTTCAGGGTTGAGGCCTACTTACTGCCCCAGATCCTGAACCCTAAACCCTGCCTATCCAAGTCGGAGCTGGTTTCAAGCGGCAGCTTTACGGCGAGTCGCTGCCGAGGACCACATGCACCATCATGAGTCATCATCGTCATCATCATCAGTGTACTAAGTAAGTAGTCAGCAATTCCAAATAGCTGGATCGAAGTTGGCTTAACTGCATCTGACAGAAACTCGCCAAAATCCAGCAAAAAATACCCTCAACCACTCAAAACTAGCAGGCGCCCAGAGGCGCGCAACTCTGGTAGTAATAGTCGTCGTCGTCGTGGTGGTGGTGGTAATAGTAGTAGAAGTAGTACTAGTAGTAGCAGTAGTACTAGTAGTAGCAGTAGTAGTAGTAGTAGTAGTAGCAGTAGCAGTGGCAGTGGCAGTGGCAGTAGCAGTAGCAGTAGCAGCAGTCGGAGTAGTAGTATTAGTAGTTGCAGTAATACTGGTAGTGGTCTGAGTAAGTAGGAATGGGAGTATTAGCACTTGCAGGAGCAGCACTGACAGGAGCAGCAGCGAAAGCGGCTGTAGTGGCAATAGTGGTAGTCGTAGCAGTAGTGCAAGTGGTACACGAGCAGCCACTAGCACTAGCACTTGCACCAACACGACCACCACAACCACTACTATCACTGCTGCCACTACAACGCACTACCACCACCACCACCCCACCACCCCAACACCACACCTGGAATGGCTCTCTGCAGTGGTCTGGCGACTGGCCTCGAAGACATAGACATCTCCCTTCTTCTCCTGAGAGCCATGTCACACCAGAACAAAAGCATCTTTCAAGGTGGCATTGAATGAATACCCAGACAGAAAAAGCAATCGATGTATGGCGCCATTTAGCCAAACCAGGGCACCCGGCATGATTGCATGATCTCGCCATACTACCCTCAGACCCTAGCTTAAGCATGGAGTGGGCTAGAAGAGAACTTCAGCTTCAACAAATCCCCTTGCAAAGAAGATTCGTTGAGGTGGTGTCGCGGCATCCGCTTTGCTGGCGATGCAGGCGGATGCGTCACCTTCTAGTGGAAAAATCGAATGCACTCGGAAGTCTTCGTTCAATCATGCGGTGAAATGCTGCGGCATGCTGCAAGACGTCGGTTATTTCGCTATCGTACGCGGTATATACAACATGAACAAATGTACGGCGCAGTCTTTAGGACGACTGTGCTGGAGGTGTCTTCGCATATACTGTATGCCGACAGATAAGTCAATCCTCTCTGAACGGACAAGAGATTGCAACCATGTTGCACAAGTACTACGAAAAAGATTGAGTCTCCGAAGAACTAGATCAAGGGTTTCGCCGTCGCAGAGGAGCGGACATCGACAGCACCGTCTAACAGCACGATGAGCTCCGTCGCAGGAGATCCGAAGGTGAAGAGGACCTGCACAAACATGGAAGCTCCGAGAAAAGGAATTACCATCTTGACGCAGATTGCCAGCTTCCGGAGGGGCCAGTCTAAGTGCACTGCATTGCTAAACCGCTGCACCATTCCACGGTCATTGCTGGTAGCTTGGCAGGTTGGACGCTGGGATGGCTCGTCCGAAATGCGCGATTACTATGTCAAGTCACATTTCTAGCATTCAGGGCTCTTCATGTTGCAATCGGCGCGTGACCCACCCGAGAATGAAGATTGCCAGCCCCCTTCAACGCTTAGGTAGCTGGGCTATTTGCCTTGACCCACCGCAAGGTGAGGATCCTCAGGCGGGTTTAGGGTTTAGGGTTTAGGGTATCCACAGCTCTTCCTTCTAGCCTGGATTAAAGATTGCCTGGAGGAGGCATCCGTACCGAGAAAAGTTGTCCACCACAATCTTCGGTTGGCACGTGCGTCAACGTAGGCGGTATGCTCTGGGTCCGTTTGTAAACTATGTCACTGCCATGTGAGGCCTGTGAACATGAAACCAACTGATCAAGGCAGACAGAGAGGCAGCGACGCAAAAGATGTGAGAGAGAGAGAGGGAGAAACCGATGGGGAGGCAAGGGACAGCAGGCAATCAAGCACGTTTGGGAAAGACAATGCTGCAGCACCGAGATGGCCTCGCCGTCCTCCTGAGCAACTTCAGAGATTCTCAAACTCGGGAACTTCGACTTGTTTGATCCGCTGTTGAATGGAAGTCATGTCGAGAAAAGCCTGAGTAAATACTAGGCATATGTTCTATGTGTTGCAGGCTGCTCTGCATCAATTTAAAAGCATGGCTTGGCCAATACACTTCGGCCAACCGTGTTATGTAGTTCGCCTTACTGTGTGCTCAGCACTCTGCATTCATTTCAGTGGCACTTTGATCGCTGGCACAATCTCGGCTGTCAACTCCTTCTGCAGTGTTGAAGAGTTGAACAGACCGTTTTGAGTGTGCTCTAATTGCAGGCCCGGTGCCTTCAGCCGTGGTGCGCCCGCCAGCTCCCGCAGAAGCTGCACGGAGATATGATCTGCAAGCGCAGGGAGCCCCTTCGTGCCAGAATTGTCAATTTGTGGGAATCTCCAGTTTCCAATGGTTATTTTTTTGTCGTCTACTGCGAACAGCCGCATCACTGCGATAGCTGCCCCTCCACCTGGATCAAGCACCGGCAGTTCCTTCTGGAGCAAGTGGCGCCAGACACCGCCGTCCTCAAGGAGTCAGCCGATAACTTTGAAGTCTACGCAGTACCGCGAGGTGGGTTGTGAGCTTTTCAACCTTGAGACTTCATGTGGGAGTCTCCGAAAATAGGGGACCCTAATATAGTACCCGAAATAGTAGGACCCTTATTATAAGGACCCCAAAATAAGGTACCCTAATTTTTGGAAACTCCCATGTCCCCGACGGAGAGCACATGACACATTCTGTCATCGGAAGTGAATCTGTCCGGCTCATTGCTGCACTCCCGGGCGAAGCGAGGCTGGGCCTTAAAGGTGTAGGCAATGCGCACGCCAACGCGAAGAATCTGTGCATGGGTGTGTGTGTGTATATATATATATGTATATATGCACAAATAGAGAGAGCGCAGCAGCAGCAGCAGCAACAGCAGCAGCAGCAGCAGCAGCAGCAGTAGCAGCAGCAGCAGCAGCAGCAGCAGCCGCGGTGGTGGTGGTGGTGGTAGTAGTAGTAGCAGGAGTAGTAGTAGTAGTAGTAGTAGTAGTAGTAGCAGTAGTAGTAGTAGTAGTAGTAGCAGCAGCAGTAGTAGTAGGAGGAGGACTAGAAGGAGGCGGCCGTAGCAGCAGCTGCGCAGCACCAGCAGCATGAGGCGGTTCTAGAAGTATTGACGACTCAACTACGAACAGCAACGGAAACAACATGTACAGTAGCAACACCGATAGCACCAAGAACAGCATGATGACGTCAGACAGCTTCGTTGTCACTTGCAACATGAGTAGATTTCTGAATAGATATGTCACGATATGTCAGTGAGCGAGTGAGTGCGTGATTGGGGGAGTGTGCATGGTAACAGGCACACAGGCATGCATGCATACGTACGAGTAAGCGGTTTCTGTGTCTCTGTCTCTCTGAAGATGTAGGCATGTCGTGGATATAAGTATGGATTATAAATACAAAGAACACACACACACACACACGCATATATCTATGTGTATATATATATGTTATAATATATATATATATATACATACGCACATACACATCTGTATGGGTATCTTTGTATGCATGCGTGCTGCACGGATAGACAGACAGCTGCTGGGTGATAGACAGACAAACTTGCGGACAGATGGACAAACGGACATAAAGACAGAGCGCGTAAGAATGAGGTTTCACTCCCACACAAAGACAGAAGACTTGCAACACGCCCATCAGTGGGTGCGGGACGAGATCTAGCTCGGTGATGCAGTTGAGCGAGTCGATCTTCGACACACCTGGACGGACAGCTGTCAGCACCCTGTTCCTCCACCAACAGAACTTCGGACACCGTCGCGAATCCAGACCTAAAGCAGGCGCCAACACTGGTGGCAATGTGTACTCCAAGAACTTGGGCGCGATCTAAAAGCAAAAGTCGTAGCTACAGCGGATCGCTTCTGGTAGCTGGACCATGCTTGGGCTACGGCCCAACGACGCCTGTGGCCTGCAGCGGTTTTGCGTTGTTGCAGAAAACGCAGCCTTCATGCCGTCGCTACAACTACGGAACAACAGCCGTGCAAGGTGCGTTTGGCCCTTGCGGAATCAGCAGAAGTCCAGCTGAGCCTGGCCTCTTTCTCGCCTGGCTCCTGGGAATGTTCTGCAGGATCTTGTCCTCGTAAGATTGCAGTGCCTGCCATGCGAAATGGAAAAAGTAGCTCGAAGAGACTTTTTGTTCCGCGTTTCATCCATTGCTTCGATGTATGGCTCTTGCACCGTGGCTTGTGTGAGCCTTATCCAGATCGTGGAAGATTTCCAGCTCTGGCACCTTTCCCAAGGAACCAGGGTGAGCATGTGTGAGAGTTTCAACTTACGAACGGACACCGGGACAGGCTCGGCTGGCAAGAGGTGGTCCGGCGCTCCACTTTCAGACAGCGCACTCAGGAAGTCCCTGCAAGGTAGCCATGTCGTATCTTCCCGGGCCTAATTTGTTGCAATTGCCTGACACTGACGCTGACACTTGGACATGCCGACTTGGTAGTCTCTTTGGTCTATAACCTTGAACCCTGAACGTTCAATGCCTGCTCGTGCTCCGCTGCACATTGCAGGGCATTCTTCAAACGGCGTACCAAGCCGCAGAAGGCCAGTCGAACCCTGCGGTTTTGGCGATCTACTTTCCGTTTCGCTGCGACGTGAAGGCCGAGGGTGCAGGGTTATAGCATCCTTCTTTATGCTGGCACTCAGCTTAACCTGCCCTTCACCACAAATCCCAGCAGTGATGTGAGCAATAGCAGCTACCAATACGATGTCAAATGTCCTGAGCCCGTCTCTCCCACCACATCGAACGAGCCGCAACACTGCTCTTCTTGAACTAATACTTCAAGCCTTGAAGAGAGTTTGCATGGATTTCCAGTGAGGTTTGAGATGGAGCTCAGGTCTTTGGCATCTTTAACCCATCCCGCCATGTCTACACGTTAAGAGCCCGACGGTCTTGGTTCCTGGAGCTCCTGGAGGAGACAAATCCAACAGGGGCTTGCGGCTGGAGCTTGCTCTTCTGGGAGCCAAGATGAGGGGTTTAGGGTCTCAACCTGGGAGTCACCAGCTTTTCGCTTCAGAGCTCGATTTCGAAGGTCCTGCACCAGGTCCACCATGGCGTAGACGCCGCTGGCCTCCGCGAGGGGCCAGCGTGCCGACAGCTCTTTTGAGGGTTTTGGAAAGTTTGGGGGCAACGACTGCATCAGAGCGGCATCGATGGCCGGCACGTGGGAGAAGTCGAGGATCACGACGGACACTTCGCTTTCGTGAACTTTACACCGAACTTCGTCAATGACCTGGCACCGAGCAGGGGCCATCTGGCATGAGTGCCCAGTGCGATCGGCCGGTTAAGCTTGACCAAGCGCTGTTAACTCCGTGCAAGGTGTCTCCCACTCTTCGCTTGGATTATCTTGGATTGCACAGTGCCTTACTCCCAATGTGCTCAGGTATGTTCTGCTTGCCTGGCATGCGGAACCGAAGAAGAGGTAGCCGCTGAGCCAAAGCACCTTGCTCCAAGATCTTTCAACTTTCGGGGGAGGAGGACGCTGTTGGGCAAAATGCATTACTTCGGAAGAAGAAGAAGACTGCTTCCCGAGCGCCAGTGTTCCATCACCCTTCTCCTTGAGCATCGCATGCTCCTCGTCGCTTCTCTCCACCCTTGAGCGGCTCCTGGGCGGGTGGTAGTGTGGTTGCTGCCAGCAGCGCAGCAGAAACGAACCTGCCACTTAGCCCAGTGCTGACTCAGGGTGCTCTCGTTAGTGATGCCCGCCACGCCGGAATACTCGATGGCAAACCACGCCTCAGCAGAGAAGCTAGGCACCCCCACCCCCACTCTGCCTCCAAAACTTGAGCTCTGGACTAAAGTGCAGAAGAGGCCAAAGAGGATGCCCAGGGTGACATTGATTACCTTTCTTCTCTGTAACACAGCAGGTTCAAGGCAGAGACCCTCCTCTGACACTGCTGGATAGAAGTTCTGCCTCCGAAAGGTTACGACATACATGTGGTGTCGAGAATTACTCTTCGCATCTTCTTTGCTGGGCGCCCTGCCACCACAATCGCAGTGGCGACCAGAACAAGCCACTCCTGCTGAGGCTCTAAACCTCTTCGAACTTAAGCGGTGCGCAGACGTGAAAGGGGTCAGAGCACCCCATCCATAACTCGCTGGGCCGAATGCCTGTTCCTCGCCGGAGTTTCTTGAAACCGATTCGGATTGGGCAAGATCCATTTTCATCAAGAAGGTGAGTGCGAAGCGGTCCTCCCATGCGACACGCCGCCTGGCCTCTAGAAGCCATTCGCCGATAAGGTCGCACGACAGGCGCACCACCGTGCCTAGAACAGCCGACAGTCGGGCGTAGGATCCCTTGAAGTCCATGCAAGCGCCATGGATGCGAGCTCGTCTGGCTCAGCTCAAATGCTCTCTCCAGGACAAGAATTCGAAATTCTCCTTCCCCCCCCCCGCCTGCAAAGAGGAAGCGTGGCACGGTCTGGACAATGCTTCTCGGAGAAGCGGCAAAAAGCAGGACATTGACAACCACGTTGAAGTAGGGCCACGAGGGCCCCGACCTAAGCAGACTAAGAAGAAGGACCCCCTCCCCCCCCTCCGTGCCATCTCCTGCCTTGGCCCTTAGGGCGGGACTTGACTCCCCGCATCATCATCGGGATCTTGAAGGACTGCATCGAGCAGAGGCCGCCCATCGAGCCCAGCAGCACGTTTGTCAGGCCCAGGGTGCGTATCCTTAGACCCATCGCCGCACCACGCCCCCCCCCCCCCCCCCC